CCTCGAGCTAAATGACCAGGATCATCACAAGATGCTAACAGAGGAATATATAATAGGAAAATATTATAAACTATAGTATAATGTGCTTATGGAAAAAAATTATTTCTCAACAGAAATAAAGACATTTGGGTGTTGAAATTGGAAAAAAAAAAAATCCTTAAAATTCGTAATGCACTATACAAATACTGCACACACAAATATGATCAAACTTTACAAACTGGTACACTAGTGGAATCCAAATTCTTTCCAGCGCGCCGTATTCTGTCGATTCCAGACAGTCAAGTCATGGTTGCTATCACAGGAATAGGTAACTTCATCTCCGTCGATAAATTTAACCTTGTTTCCAAGCAATCTTCCTTTGTATGGGGCTCTCGGTGGTGGAGGACAAATATCTGTTCAACCGAAAGCTCTAACCTTTATTCCATTCGCAAAACTTTGGAAAGCTATCGTTGAATCACTTCGCCAAGCGTATGAAATTTGTACTACTTGCAAATTTTTCGTAGGGTCTTTTACTCTCGTGGTGACCGTTTCCGCCTGAGAATTCCTGCATTTTACCGTCAGAGTACCTTCAAATTAATTAATAGACTTTCTGCCTTTCACCATTACCTTTTCCTTGCTTAAAACTTTCTTAGCGTTGTTTTCTTAAAACTTTCTTCCGTCGCTTTGCTCTGTGAATTTTGTGTCCGGCGCTGAGTCTGTGCTTTGATTCTTTCAGTCGCCATGATTGGTTTGTTGTGTAATCTCATGAATTTCCTGAGAATAAGCAACTTGATCACGGAAGCCAGTAAAATAAATGTTCCTCTCACTGACAGACTTTTTCCATAGTTATTTCTTAAAAGCAATTGACCACTCTTTCTGTGGGTTTACCGGCGCAATAAACCACTCGACGCAATAAACCACTCGAAAAAGTTGTAAACGGAATTTCTTTTTGGTGTATATATATAACAAAAACATATAGACTTAGGCCAGCCTAAAAGCGTAGCTCCTTGGCCGGGTTTGTTCAAAGTCCGATTAAGCTAATCAAGGATAAGGTAGAATTTTGACTTGAGTTCTGTAACTTTGCGGTGAGGTTTCCTGTATATTGTTCGGCCTTCTGTTTTGAGTTTTAACACAAGACAAAAGCAGTGTTAACGGTTAACTTTTAATCCTGGGTTAGCCTTAACCGGCTTCCGAACAACTCGACCCTGTTTTAAACTAGTTAACGTGACATGAACCCGCGATCCAATCGGAAACCAGCACTTGGTCAGCGGTAAACCTCAAAAAACCCTCGACTCTAAGCTTGAGCCCACGATATGGTCACGTGATGCTGGTCAGCGGATACCTTGTTTTGACAGGTGTCAATTGGTCATAACATAGATGCCCAACATCAAAGACGTACACGGTAAACCAAGTCTGCATGTCTCTGTCAACCTATTAATTATTTGGAGTATAGCCGCCATCTTGAGCGACTCCGTCGCCGCCGTCGTCGTGCGTACGCGTCCATAAGCAATACCGCTAGTCATGATATCCATGAGAAAATCAACTCATGGGTTTCCTTTCTTTCCTATATGTATGGGGCCGGAGCTCCGCCAATATATATCTAAAAGCAATAGATTCTCTAGCGACCTTTGTGACTCTGTGGCTCTGTGGCCATCGATGCACACAATCTGCCGTGGACCTTTAAGTTGAAATCGGTTTTACCTTGTGGTCCTTTTACAGAGTTATTCTTTTATGCTCAGTGTATTTTGACGGTGATTTTAATTCCGTTAAAAGGGATACAGGAACCATTTGGTAAACAAAATCACTTGGAAAAAGTCAGCATGCCACGTTCTCAGTGAGCGGATTTTCCTAGCTACCTTATCTATCGAAGAGCAATGCAGTAAGTAATTAAATGGACCGCGTAGCAAGTAGTTCAAAGCCGTCACCTGCAAATCAACACTAATTTGCGAGTAATGGCTGAATAGTGGTGTTAATTAACTGTTATCATTTCCGCACCAAATAAATGGAAGCGGCTACACACAGAAATAGGGTGTCGCTATGTCATGTAAATAATAGCTGCAAATTGTAAATTGTTTGCGATGAAATTTAGACTGTCACGGGAAGTAGTTAAAACTTACTTGCTGTCACGTATGCGTTATCGTTTATCACCTTATCCGCTTGTAAAGTTCAAAGGCATGATGGGAAATAAAAAAGCACGAGGTTGTGACAACATGGCGTAGTTTCTGTCGTGTACATAACAGTTACAAGCTTGCCTTTACAATCTGGTACATTAGAATCCTAATTATTTTCACCACAACGCAATCTCTCGCTGTCAAACAAGTTATAATTGCCGTCTCAAGAAAATTTAACTTCATCTCCGTCGATGAATCGATACTTATCCCAATGCAGTCTCTATATGGAGTTTTGGACCCTGGGTAATTACCTGGTCAACCGATCAACCCATAAATTGTTGCTTTTCTTTTCCTTTTGCAATGTTTAACGTTTAGTCTAACCTTTGCAAACTGGAGCTGGATTGTTCCAGTTACCATCATTGCACATGATAACAGAGGCGCCAACCCTTGTATAGCCAAAAGAGCAATAAAACCTCACAGAACGCCCGTGCCTAAAGTCGTCTCCTGATCTACGGCCATGTGCTGGTTGAGAGAGTTCGTTACACGGTGCTACGGAATCCAACACGAACAATCGAATCAACTACTGATAGAAAAGGTTTCCTTTGTTTAACCGAGGATTGCTATTATTGTTGAAACCAAGTTTATTACAGTTAGGTAAAGTTTACAAAGTTTTCAACTTTATTTCAGTCATAAATACGTAATTCATCCCGAAACAAGCGGTGAGCTTATATACCAAGGTTAATTAGACGTAGAAACAAATAGTGATGTAACATGAAGTCATCAAAGGAAAAGACTCAACTTTCCAGAGGTTTTGATCTCACTTTAATCGGCCAGGCTTTTGGTTCTTGATGCAGAAAGACCTGTCTTTAGGGTCTAATTTAATGAGAAACCAGAAACTGCAAGGGACCGCATACGATAAACGCTGCCAACGGAGGGTCTACAAGAGATCTAATCAGCCAAAAAAATGTTTGAAGACAAGCAATAGACTGCAAGGCTGATACTACGTGAAAAACGTTTCGAGACACCAACACGACAAGAACCGATAAAGTAGGATCGAAACAGTGGACAGCTGTTTCGCCCTTCTTGGGGCTCGTCAGCACTGTGTAGCGAAGATATGTAACGCCAGCAGAAAAGCCAACGCACATAAATTGCAAAATGACCCGTGCACGATAACGTACCATGCTTAAAAAACGCAGCGTATCGGATACTGTCCATGCGGTTGAATGTTTAAATGTTTAGGCTGGCCTTGTCCAGCCACATTTATTCTTTTGCTTTTCGAGA